AGCCACCCTATGCCTTTTAATTGGAGCATTTAGTCCATTGACGTTTAAAGTAGCTATTGATAAGTATGTACTTACTGCCATTTTTTAACTTTTTTTTCTTGGTGTTTTAGTAGTTCTTCTCTGTTCCTTTCTTCTTCTCTTGCTCTCTTCCCTTGTGGTTTGATGGCTTTCTTTAGTATTACGTTTGCGTCTCTTTCTCTTATTTTTTTGTGTACGTATTATAGGTTTCTGGTTTGTGATTACCATGGGGTTCATATATAGTAACCTACATATATAGCAGTCCATATTAAGTTGATAGTCTCTTTAGTCTGACCTCTGTCTGAAAGCTCTACTCTTTAACTCCCCTTCTCCCACATTTTATGTTTTTGATATCATATCTAACCTTTTTTTTGTGCATTTGTATCCATTACCCTCTTATCATGGAAATAGATAATTTTTCCTATTTGTGGTCTTCTCTTTTCCCCTTAAATAAGTCCCTTTATCATTTCTTGTAGTACTGGTTTCTTGGTGACAAACTCCTTCAATGTTTGCTTGTCTGGGAAACTTTTTCTCTCTCCTTCCATTCTGAATGATAACCTTGCTGGGTAGAGTATTCTTGGCTGTAGGTTTTTTCCTTTTGGCACTTTAAATGTATCATGCCACTCTCTTCTAGCCTGTAAGGTTTCTGCTGAGAAGTCAGCTGATAGCCTTATGGAGTTTCCTTTGTAGAATTTACAAATTTAAAAATCAAAATATCAATTACACAGTTATTTTTACAAAGCAGCAGACTGAAATTCAAGAAAGGAATATACTATAATTAAATTTAACAATGGTCACATTCATAGATAAATAATGGTTATGAATTTAATTGCATATCAACACAGTGGTGCCTATTTTATCCAAGTGCAATCTATCCAAAAAAAAGGGTTTAAGATACACTCTTCATTCGAGCACAAACTTCATTCTGTGAAAAATAAAAGAAAATCAGCAAGTAAATTTCACCACCACCAAACTAAAGGGAGACAAAGTCAAAAAGAAAAAGAAGAAAATATCCACATTTGTGAAAAGGTGTCATCTATAAAACAACCACATTAAAATGAAAGGGATTTTTATGTTTGTCAGCAAACCTCAAAAGTTACTCCAAGTCATATTAAAGGGTGTATGTACTCAGTAAGGCATATATATCAAACATTTTCTTCAAGTGGGAAAGTGGGCAAGCTGGGTGAGAGAGAATTTCTCCCTACTTCTTTATCCTGTATGAAATAAAAAACACAGCACTGTCTTCTCCAAAAAAAGAGAGAGAGGGAAAAAGAGAGGAAGAAGGAAGGAAGGAAGAACAAATTGAATCAGAAAACTAATTTCGTAATGAGGTTCACAGTAGTAATTTCATAGTGAGGTTCATAAGATTTCTAACTCCAAAGTAAATTTCTCTTATAAGGAAGTTTATCTGCATTCCTCACAAGTAATTATCCTAAGACTGGGACTGTCACATGCATTCATATAATCATAGTTCACAGGCACCAAATCTCAGCAACTTGTAGCTGAGAGAAAAAAACGCCACATTTCAACAATGAACCATGCCAATGGGTGGAGCTACAATTACAATCATACTAAGTCTCAACAGAGTATTTTTCTTAAAAAAAAATTAAACCATTCATCAAGATCTGTTCCATAACAAAGAGAGCCGGAATACTAGAGAATCTAAATATATATATTAGCTCTCTTAGCATGTGAGGACAAAAGGCATTTCCAGGGGAAAGAGAAACCAGTATTTGGCAACTGTGTATTGTTCTGCAGTCATTTGGCATCTCTTGCGGACGGTGACTTGCTCTTATCTTTTCCCTATATTAGATTTGGGCTACTGATAGCTTCCACAGTTAAAGACCTACTACTAAATATCAAATATGAAAACATATTATGGTTTTCTGAATGTTACCAGTGCTCTTAAACCAATTTTGGGGTTTTAAACATAAAAACATAGCTTCTTGAACTCTGTATAAACCAAAACATTCTCGACTCATGAAGCTAAAATCACTAGGAACATTTTGCTGGTCTAACGTACATTATGCTTAACCAAAATGTTACCCGGTTTTATGAAAATAAAATAAAATAAGCTGGGAGTTAGTAGGTCCAAAATTCCACAAATTCAGATCATACGTATCATTCCTGCTGTCCAAGTACCACACACACCAAGTTCCCATGTCTGTTAAGCAGATCAGTTTAGTTCAATGGTGATGGATGAAATATTTACAAGCATCTTATTTACAGTACTTCTTTCTGTAGATTACAAGCCAATCTTCCTTTCTTCCATTCCTAGTCAATCCGAGTTTGGTTTCCTCAATGAGAAGGGGTAAATCTGAAAATGGCCGCTCAGCTGCTTTACCTACAAGGCAGTGACAAATGCACACCTCATTATTTTTTAAAGCACATAGAAGTCACCCTCTGGAGACAACGAATTACTGATAAGGCAAAAATCATCAGAAATAATGAAGAGGATTTTCTGGACTAGGATAGCTATAGAGCTAGATGGCTACATAAGAGTACTAGAATTACCCTGGGAGAGTTAAGACTTAAACCTCAGTTTGCCTAACTTCAAAACCAAGTCTTTCCAGACCCTCCAGACCACACAGATTCACATCCAAAACTACTGAAAAAGTATAGGGTTGGCTGACTTGTAATATCTAGTAGATCAAAAATTTACATATACAGTTAAGACCCAACATTCAGCTTCTTATAACTTTTCTAAGTAATCATTCCTAATCCTGATGAAACAGTTATATAAAACTAGATCTGTAAATCTGGGGAGGTTCAAACCATATGGATGAGGGTATCCCTAGTGGGTAGGCAAGAGCTTGGTTATGTGCCAGTTAGCAAATATTGTTTATTTGATACTTCTTATTTCTATTCTTATTCTTATCATCTATATTTCAATAGTTCAAGAGAGTGTTTTGTGTGGCTTAGCAAGTTTTACCTTCTGGTCGGAAGCTGCAGAACTGATAAGAGACCAAAAAACAGACAAAAAAAGATACTCCTGGAATTTTTTTCAGTTAGCTTGTATTTATTTTCCAGATTTTTAACAGTGAAAATGTACTGCTTTTGTAATTTAAAGAAAAATGTGTTTTGGTTTGGTTTGGTGTATGTATGGTTTTCTAAAGACATGCTTCTGAATGATTATAATAAATTAAACTAATTATGAAAGACATTGGCAACTGTGTTCTAATTCATGCATATCACTGATGAAATATCAGGATAAAGGCCTAAGAGTGTTGATATAAAGTATACAATGTTAAATTTCCACAAATAAAAACAAACGATTACGACTTCCTGTCAAAATTCATAGACTTGTCATGCTTCTTTTTCGTCTATTTTGTTCCAGCAAATGTGGGCTACTTTAGGGAGAAACACTAAGGGATGAAACCTAAGTTTAGCAACATATGCAAGGTATAAAGTTATCAAGCGTGACAGGTCCCCTCATTTTAAAAATACATACAACAATACAGAAGAAAAGACATTTTCTTTCTCAAACTGATTCACAGCAGGGTTCCCTTCAAAACAAGTATACCAAATAGTATTTTATGAGCCATAAAAATGTGAATACCCTTTTACATAACCCCATTGCTATAAAATTCTCCTCAGAAAATAAAGCAAATGAAAGAAAATATTATTCCAGATTGTTCACTCCAACTTTATTTACAATGGTGAAAATCTGGAAACAACTTAAATGATTACAATAACTGGGTCATGATTAAATAAACTGGGTAATTATTAGGTAATCTCCTTGATGGAATATTGTATAGCAATTAAAAATCATAATTATGAGACCATGCTAAAATATGTAAAATAATTAGAAAAGAATGTTAAATTATTAGGAAAAAGAGAATAAACTGTACGGTTCTGATTTTCATTTTATTACACTTATCTTACTCTCTTTGTTCTGAAATTAGACTCTTATTTTAGAAGAGAATATTAAGGTTTGAAAAATACTTCTTAAATCCATTCTCTTCTGTATTTCCTCTTATAAAAATGCCCCTAAAGCTAAAGAAGTATAGAAATAGATTATCAACAAATGGGATTATTTGGTAGCATATAATTAAAAGCACAAAAGAGTTTACAATTCTATTCACCAAGAAAATGGTTTACATTTTTACCCACTTAAAAAGAAGAACTAATTCCTCATAATTATTATCCAGCTTTTAAATTATTTGTAGTTACCATAAAATATTCATTAGAGAAACAACATCTGAAATTACACACTTGAACATTATCCAAAATTTAGAGAATATCCCAAAATTCTTCCAGCTACTATAATAAGAAACTTTCTTTTGAAATTTTCCCTCGCCTCCTTTCCACTATTATAAGAACCAAATGGAACCAACGTTGCTCCAGATTACTCACCACTCGGACTCCATAATGGATGTGGGCCAGAGTGAAAGCAGTTGTTAATGTATACAGGAGAAGGGTCTCAGTGTAAGAGGCTACTCCTAAGTTTACCACCACGACAACCAAGAAGAGAGGAACCAGCAGCCAATTCAAAGTTGGGCACCGAGTACTGCTCATTTGACAAACAATCAGCTGACACTTGAAGATAGTAAAAAAAAAAAAATGAATGAAAATTTAATTAGCAAAGCACTTCCAAAACTAGTCACTCCAACATTGAAAAAGCATTCAAGTACTTGAGCCAATACATTTACATTACATTATTAAGTTCAGATAGTTCTCAACTGCTCAGGAGCCCAACTGAACCTCTGTCCTCACCTCCAAACCTATGGACCCTCACAGTGTTTGTAGGAAGAGGCTGGAAGATAATTTAGTAAGGATGCTATAGAAGGCACTCTTCCATTGGTAACAGTTTGGATAAAAGAAATTTCTCCCAATTTTAAGATTCTATGATATCTGGAAAAAAACTTCAAAACGCCTCCCACAGCCCCATACAACAAAATTTCTTCATGATGGTAAGGAGACACTACCTCAATTCAGTCATATTGCCATATTAACAGCAAAAAACTCCGTTGGTTCCCTTTTCTTTCAACATCTTACTCAAATTTAGGTTTATTCTTTGAGAGATACTTTTTATACAATGCATTAATGTTTTCAGATCTTTTAACCCTGTGGAATCAGAAGAACTCTGGATATTAAACACATTACAGACATGGAAACATAAGCTCAGTGGCTAAGTTACAAATAAAAACGTATTAAGGACCTGGCTTTAGCTAGAGCACAGGCTTCCTGGCTGGCAGGGTCTTTTCTCAACTCCTTCTGACCTCTCCTTCCTATCTGCTCTCTTGCTGGGCCATAGCAGAGAAAGGGATTGTTAAAATTATGCTGTATTTATTACAAAGTTTTTTATTCCATGTTCTTAATCTAAAAATCAGTTGATTTAAAAAATGTGTGAGTTGTGCTGTGTGTGTTTGTGTGTGTATGTGTTTTCGCTCTCTCAAACACCCGTTTCAGGGGCCGGCCCAGTGGCACAGTGGTTAAGTTTGCAAGCTCCGCTTTGGCAGCTCGAGTTCGCAGGTCCTGACCCCAGGCGCGGACCTGAGCACTGCTTATCGAGCCATGCTGTGGCAGGCATCCCACATATAAAGTAGAGGAAGATGGGCACGGATGTTAGCCCAGGGCCAATCTTCCTCAGCAAAAAAACCCCCTTTCAAGCTCCCTAAACTAATGATTGGATCTGCAGCCATTTCAACTACACGGTTAATATTTAGAGTCTGAAGGGAATTATTCTATGACTTCTTCAGCAGGCAACCAAAACAAAAAATTTAAGTGTGTCATGGTTCCAAAATAATACCGCAGTCTCCAAATCCTATTGGTTTCAAAAGGAAAAACAAAATAGCATGTTTCAGCATGTTCTGTCTTTGAGGTTATTAATCATTTTTTTAAATTTTTGATGTAAAATATCTTTAAATTAAAATCTGCTTATTCTAATACTATATAAGGTTTCTCAAATTATCAAATTCTGTCATATATTTCTTATACATATTATAGTTTTTAAAAGAACAAAATCTTACTGTGATATTGGCAAAGGCTGTTCCAACCATAAAGTAGAATACTCTAGGATGTATCTCTAAAATAGCTGAAGGTGACTGGAGGATCCATACTGTAGACAAAATGAATAGCAAACATGGAGAAAAGAAGGGAACCATAGCTTCATAGACTGAAGTGTGTTTCAAGGTGTTATTTTTATAGCTTCTGCAAAAAAAAATCAAGTAATACAAAGAACATTACTACATATAAACCTTAACATTGTACTTATATTTTGTAGTTTTCAAAGTACTTTTACACTTATTCTCTTATTTTATACTGACAATAATCCCATGGCATAGGTAGAACCAACATTATTAACCCCATTTTACAGCCAGGTCAAGTGAGGATGTCAGAATTTAAATTTACATAACTTGCTACCAAGTGGCAGGGCCAGGACTAGAACGGAAGTCTTCTGACCCCTAGTCCCATTTTTTTCCCTGGAATGTAAAGATGAATAAAGCTTGGTCTTTGTTCTATGAGATTATATTCTAATAGGGAAAATAAAATGAACACAAAACAATACTAGAGGAGCACCTCATAGTGCTACTATGATACAAAGTGATAAAGTGATACTGAACTGAAACTGCCCATAGCATACCTTAGGTCTCTAGGCACACAGGCGGTACTCCAGTATATGTCTGCTCATCTGAACAGGGCCCAAATTCTAGTCCTGGTTCTGCCACTGATTACACGACCTTGGGCAAGAAATTGCCCAGTCAGGACCTCATCTTTACAAGATAAAGAGGATATAACTCAAATAATCTCTAAGGCCTTCAGAGCTTTTAATTTTATGGTTTCTGTGAAGGACTGCCATAAAAAGGGAAGGTTCATAGAGCTTGGCTTGACATGGATAGGATTCTGTAAGACAGATCTGAGAGCTGAAGGATGAAGTGGGAAGTACAAGAAAGTGTTTCAAGTAAAGGAAACAGTAGTAGAGGAAGGAGTGGGAGCAAAATTATTGAGGGGAGAAAGCAAAATATATTGGGGTCACAGAAGTAAATTCAGGGTGGCTGAGCAAAGGTGGAGAAGTGCACACACAGATCAGAGAAATGAAACTTCACCTGGGCAACTCCCCTCCCTAGCGCCTACCCCACTCCTCAGGCAGGAATTTCTATGCAGTGCTATTTGAGAAGAGTCAGCATAGGTCCAGGGTTTGGTCCTAAACTACACAAGTTCAGAAATTTTATTTTATGACCATGCTAACTAAACCTACACATATCAATTTATAAAAACTTATAATCAATTTATAAAAAGAATATAAACCTATCAATATTCAAGAGGAACATACTCCCTCCTGATTCAGTCACAAAAAATTACAAACTAGAAGACTGTTTGGTAAGCCCAAAACCATGACAAAAGAACTTGTAGTTTTGTGCTATTGTTGAATTGACTACACAAGCCACCACAGATACCGTAAATTATCCTAACCTCAATCTAAATTCAAAATACGGATTTCACGACTTTTGCAAAATGTCTAGATTCCGAAAGAAAAATAGATCCTAAAATTCATCTAAATAACAACTTCTAAGGATCTTCATATTTGTTGCCCAATTAAAAACAAAATACTTACCTGAAAAAGTTTAATAAACTCATTGGAAGAGTCACACATAATGCACAACCTAAAGGGAAGAATATTTAAATTATCATGACTTACTATTCAAGAGAGATTTTTATAATAATTGAATACACACAAAATACATAATATTTTTAGATCTAATAATTTTCAGGTTTAGGTTTACTTCTGTAATGAAATTAAATACATTTCTGAACAACATTTACCACTGGAAGAAGGGCAGTACAGTTTGGTGATTCAGAGCAGAGACTCAAAGAGCCAGACTGGGCTTGAATCTCAGTTGTGCCACCAACAGATTATATGACTTCAGGCAAACTGACCTTTCAGTGCCTCAGTTTCCTCTTTTATAAAACAGATAATAGTAGTATCGCCATCCACAGGGTTTTGAGAATTAAACAAGTTATTACATGTAAAGATACCTGGAACAGCACCTGGTACATAGTAAATAAATTGCACAATAAGTGTGAATTATTAGAAGAAGGGATGATGAATGGATCCTGCTGCTTCCCATTTACACTTTTTTACCTCCCCAGCATTCTTAACTTCTCCCCCTACCCCTATCCATACACCAGTTCTTTCCCCTCAAACCTAAAAACAAGGATGGCCTTCCCAAGAAACCCAACCATTGCTTCTGCTGCTTTCACTATCTACTATCTTACTCTACTCTTTCCTATCACTCACGGAACTCTTCTGTTGCCTTCAATTCCTCAACACTCTTTTACTCATTCTGCCTCCCCTCTGCAGAAACAGTACTCTTGCAATTTACCAGGCTCTCCTAATGATCAAATTCAATATCCTTTCTTCATTCCTGACTTCTCAGTAAAATGACTCATTGACTATCCTTGTATTTCTTTCCTCCCTTTGCCTTTGTGATTCCATTCTCCCCATGTTCCTGCTAGCCATCCAACCATTACATTTGGTGTCCTTAATGAGCAACTCTATCTCCTGCATATTCTTAACTGGGCAGTCAACTGTGTTTCTACTCTCCCTCAGAGAATCTCCTCTGACAGCTTTAACTAAAAGCTTCCTGCAGATAACTCCAAGTCTAGTTCTGTACTCTTGAGCAAATAAATCTCCCTAAGCTTCAGATTCCACATCCTTGTACAACGAGGATAGGTTAAATGATTTTTCTAGTGTCCCTTGCATCTTTAAAATTCTCTGATTCTATGATCTACAGAGATGTAAATTCCTGATCTTTCTCTCTTTCAAACTCCAAATCAACACATGTGGCAAGTTTCTGGACACTTCATTTGGATATTTCACTGTCACTCAACGCATTAGCCCTAGTTTGTTCACTTTGGACTCCCGGTGATTTTACTTGGCTTGGCGGGGGGTGTCAATGCAGCTATGACCTTAAGGATCAAAGACAGAAAGGCATTCCTTCAAAACAATTCCTAAGACATTTTGCTAAAAACAGATGAAAAGACACTGGAAATCCCATCTGAAGACGAGTTACTCAGCTACTTCTAAGCCCAACTAGAACAAAGTTCCCCACATTAGAAATCTTAGAGGAAAAGGAAGGAGAAGATAAGCTGATGTCCTCAGAAATTTTTAGCAGCCTACTCCATATCAAGCTGGTAAACTCTGGGAGGGAGGCAGGGCTAAATGAATTAACCCAGAATCATTTGTAGCTCTGAGGTGCTGGAAATAAGCTGAAAGAAACTTGCAAAGGATTTGCTACCAAGAGTATATTTAGTTTTAAACATCTGAAATAGCTTTATCTTAAGTATAGTAAGCATGTAGAAGCCTGGGCTCTGTATAAGTTGCCGAAGATAAACACTGCATCTTCTATTTCTTCTCTAAATAGCACTTAATGTACTTTCTGTAAAGAGTACCTAATTGTTAATTTAAATATTTATCTATTAAACTTTATATAAGGGCCGGCCCGGTGGCACAAGCGGTTAAGTGTGCGCACTCGCTGTGGTGGCCCAGGGTTCGCTGGTTCAGATGCCGGGCGCACACCGACGCACTGCTTGGCAAGCCATGCTGTGGCGGCGTCCCATATAAAGTGGAAGAAGACGGGCACGGATGTTAGCCCAGGGCCAGTCTTCCTCAGCAAAAAAAAAGAGGAGGATTGGCAGATGTTAGCACAGGGCTGATCTCCTCACAAAAATAAATAAATAAATAGTAAACTTTATATAATAATAGTGATAGAACCCACACATATGTAGACCTGCTTTTCGTACTGCCAGAGGAAAGCCCAGATGACTTCATACAGGAAATATAACATAAAAAAATTAGAGCAGGGCCGGCCCGTGGCTTAGCGGTTAAGTGCGCGCGCTCCGCTGCTGGCGGCCCGGGTTTGGATCCCGGGCGTGCACCGACACACCACTTCTCCGGCCATGCTGAGGCCGCGTCCCACATACAGCAACTAGAAGGATGTGCAACTATGACATACAACTATCTACTGGGGCTTTGGGGGAAAAAAAAAAAAAAAAAATTAAAAAAAAAAAAAAAAATTAGAGTAGAATTTATACAAAAGGATTGACTTGGATAAGATAAACACCAAGGATGACATGGTCTCGAAAAATATTTTGGTTCCTCACATTTCCGGGCTTATTTATTTATTTATTTTATTTTTGTGTGTGTGTGAGGAAGATTAGCCCTGAGCTAACATCCGTTGCCAATTCTCCTCTTTTTGCTGGGGAAGATTGGCCCTGGGCTGACATCCGTGGCCACCTTCCTCTACTTTATATGGGAAGCCGCCACAGCATGGCTTGATAAGCGGTGCGTAGGTCTGTGCCCAGGATCTGAACCTGCAAACCCCAGGCTGCCAAAGTGGAGCGCGTGAACTTAACCACTATGCCACCAGGCCAGTCCCCCAAGGCTTATTTATTAAAAGAGAACTTCAATTAAAACCACCAAGACAAAAAGTACTTAAAGGAAAGTAAAAACAAAGGGGAAATTGTCATTTATATCAAAACAAAGGATTAATATACCTAATATATGAAGAGCTTCTAAAAATAAAGGAAATGGTTAACAATCCTACAGCAAAAATTGGCTAGAGATATAAAGAATATACAGAAAAAAGAAATACAAATGGCTCTCAAACACTAGAAAAGTCCATTCACAATAAGAGAAATGCAGATTAAAACTATACAGATATATCATTTCTTACCTATGAGATTGGCAAAAATCCAAAAGTTTGACAATATTCTATATTGGTAAAACTGTAAATAAACAAGCAGTTTTCATACACGGCTGGTGGGAATTCAAAATCATACAACCCATATAGAAGGGAATATGAAAATATTTAGTGAAATTGCATACACATGTCCTTTACTAGCAATTCTATTTCTAGAGATCTCCTCCAAAAATACCCTGGCAAAAATATGAAAGACATACATATGTACAAGACTCTTCACTGCAGCAATTTGTATAACAGCAAAAGACTGGAAATAACCCAAATGTCCACCAGTAGGAGGCTGGTTGAATAAATTAAGGTACATCCACACAATGAAGAACCAGGCAGCTGTAAGAAAGAATGAGGAAGATCCTTATACACCTCTATGCAGTGATCTCCAGGATATACTACTAAGGGGGAAAAAAAGCAAGTGCAGTAATACATAGTATGCTACCATTAATCTATGAAAGGGAGGATAAAACCACACACACACACACCTACTCATATTAAGAAAGAAACAATGAAAAGCTAAACCAAAAAATTAAAAACTAAGAGAGGGAAGAGACGATTAGGGTAGTAACAGAAGTTAGACTTTTTTGAATAGACCTAGTTTTATATATAGATTTGACTTTGTAATCATGTGACTATGTTACATAATTATAAAGGAAAAATAAATTTTAAAAGAAGAAGTAATTCCTAAAAATCAAAAGTAAAATGAAACAAACTTAAATGTACCTATCTACAGTTGGTGGCATAACCACAGAGTAGTGACTTTAAAATATATTTACCATGAGGCTGGCCTGGTGGCGTAGTGGTTAAGTTCGTGTGCTCTGCTTTGGCTGCCCAGGGTTCGCAGGTTCGGATTCTGGGCATGGACCTACGCACTGCTTATCAAGCCATGCTGTGGTGGCATCCCACATATAAAGCAGAGGAAGATGGGCACAGATGTTAGCCCAGGGCCAATCTTCCTCAGCAAAAAGAGGAGGATTGGCAACAGATGTTAGCTCAGGGCTAATATTCCTCACCAAAAAAAAAAAAATTATACATGTATATACATTAACCTGACTGGGCATCTCTAGTGGGATAAGCCATAAGGACAAATGGAACTGCAAAAACAATTTTCAGTAATCAAATTGTTGTTGATTTTGGTACTATGTTCTGAGACTTGTGGAATAAAGCAAATAATTATTTTGTGTTGTTGAAAACAAAGACTTTTGGGGCTGGCCCCGTGGTGTAGCAGTTAAGTGCACGCGCTCCGCTGCTGGCGGCCCGGGTTCGGATCCCAGGTGTGCACCGAAGCACCGCTTGTCAGGCCATGCTGTGGCAGCGTCCCATATAAAGTAGAGGAAGATGGACACAGATGTTAGCTCAGGGACAGTCTCTCTCAGCAAAAAGAGGAGGATTGGCATGGATGTTAGCTCAGGGCTGATCTTCCTCACAAAAAAAAAAAAGAAAACAAAGACTTTTGTCAGAGTTTAAAGGAGGTACGAATGTAAGATCAATGAAGTTAAGTAAAAACTCTGATTCATCATATTTTATTTGGACTTATCAGTATGAATTTATGAGGTATTTTATATATAAAAAAAACTTTATTCCCCTAGCTATCCACTGAATGGATTCCTAAGCAACGATCAACAATGTCTGTTAATACCATTAGGTGAAGAGCTGATGCAAAACTTAGTAACAGATGAAAGAGACATATAATACCTCAATCCTCTGATCACTATTAACATCACATAAAGAGAGATAACTAGATATTGTGTGCCTCCTAATGTGATGCAATAGGAAGTACCATTACCTAGTAAGTATTGTTGCCACGAAAAAATCAAAACTTGCACCTAACAGAATCTATACATCTAACAGTTTATAAGAAAAACAAGAGGCAGAGGAACATGTTAAACGACACAATGAGAATGCAATCAGCAAAATGCAATCAGCAAAATGCAGAATGCCAGGGTTCCATAGGCCAAATGACTCACTTTCTTCAAAACAAAAATTGCAAAGAAAAAAAGGGTAAACTTACATAGATTAAGAGAGACATAAAAGACCTATCAACCAAATGCAATGTAGAGGCCCTAGCTGGTGGCTATACAAACACATCAATTATAACAGGACATTTGAGACAATTAATGGAAATCTGAACACTGACTAGATATTTGATGATATTAAGAAATTATTGTTCATTTATTTGGTGTGGTAATAGTAGTGTAATTACATTTTTAAAAAAGGAATCCATATCATTCAGAAATACATAAATACAATGAGGTATTTATGCATGAAATGAAATGATGTCTGGAATTTGCTTCAAAATAGCCCAAAGGGAGGAGAATGTTTGATAACGGTGGCATAAAGAAGTAGGGCAATTCCTCTCATAAATAATTATTAAAAACCAGACAAAAAAATATTAAAAACAACTACTTGAAGGCACTAGAAAATAATCAAAGGCGGGCAGAAACTTGAGAAGCATTTACACTTGAAACATTGAGGAGCAACTCCCAGTTTGAGGCTTCCTTGCCTGCCTCCTGTCCCAGCCTAGATGGTGGAAAGCCACAGCCTTCCTTACCAGCTTGAAAAGGCAGATAACAGAATTTAGAGCAGCAGAGAAACTGGAAATCTAAAGGGGGAGGGGGAGATTTTAGAAGAGAGAGATGTAGTAGGGCTGAGATTCAAAATCTAAGTATAAACTCTACCCAAATCCCTGGCTGGCTGCTAAACTAAGCAGGCAAACAGGAGACCCCAGGAAGCATAATGAAAAAGAAGGCAAAAACTAGAGGAGGCACTGTCTTTGAAAGAGAGGGGTGCTCTTGGTGAGATCTGTGCGTCTGCTGTGACTTTCACTAAGGGCATTTCTAATCAGCACTCAGCTTGGGCTGCAGGAGGCAGAAGCCTTACTGGCTTGAGATGGCAGAAGCCAGAACACAGGTGCTGGCAGAGCAACTGAAGATTCAGGAAGGGAAACCCCAGAAAAAAGGAAACCAGAGAGGATGAACACCAAAATCTCGGTATCAGCTTTGCCCAAATCTTTGGCCAACCACTAAACTACACAGACACAAGGGAGATCCCCAAGGGACCAGACTAAAAAAGTAGCAGCCAAAAGCTGAAAATAGCTGAACAGACATCAGCTACTGCACACCATGAGAGAGAGAGATTTCTCGGTCTGAGTCCAAACAAGTTAAATAAATGCCTATTAGAACAAAAACAAAAACCCTCAGGGGAAAAAAAAAAAACAGATTCAAAGTCTCTATAAGTATTATTTCCAATATCTGGTTTTCAACAACAAAAAAAAAATTGCTGGATATGCAAAGAAATAGAAAAAAAGCAGTCAACAGAAACTAACTCTAAGTGGGCCGAGACGTTGGATTTGGTAGACAGATTTTAAAGCAGCCATTTTAAATATGTTCAAAGAACTACAGGAAAATACGGTGATAATGAATGAACAAATAGGAAACCTCGAGAGAAATGGCAAGTATAAAAAGAACCAAATGGAAATTCTACAGCTGAAAAGTAAAATAATGTAAATCACAGGTTCCATGAAAGATTCACTAGATGGACTCAACAGCCGATTGGAGTTAGCAGAAGAAAAAAAGCAGTGAACTTAAAGTTAGATTAATAGAAATTATCTACTACAAAGAATAAAGAGATTAAATAAAAATTAATAAAGCCTCATAAAATTACCTGTAGGACAATATCAAGTGAAGCAGTCTAACATACATGTAAGAGGAGTCCAGAAGGAAAGGAGAGAAAGAGACAGGAAAAATATCTGAAGAAATAAACTGGCTGAAAACTTCCCACATTTAGTCAAAAAAAATTAACTTACAGATCCAACAAGCTCAACAAACACCAACAAGGACAAACACAAAGAAAATCACACCTAGGTACATCATAGTCAAACTTCTGAAAGCCAAAGATAAAGAGAGAATCTTGAAAGGAACAAGAGAAAAACGACACATCACACACAGGGTGACAATGATATACGAGCTGACTCAGAAACAATGAATACCAGAGGACATTAGAATGACATATTCAAAATGCTAAAAAATAAAGGCAAAATCAAGACACTTTCACAAAAAATGAGAGAATACATCTACCAGGCCTGCACTACTAGAAATGCTAAAGAAAGTCCCTCAGACTTCTGAGAAAGAACATCATATGGTAAGTCAGATATACAGAAAGGAATTAAGTGCAGCAGAAATGGTAAATACGCAATTAAGTATAAAAGACTATATGTTATAAAATAACCCAGGAGTTAGAGGGTAGTGGTACATTTGAAACAAAGTTGGCATTGGTATTGAAAACTGTTGAAGCTGTGTGATGGGGTACATAAGCATTTATTACAAAAAAATAGAAAGACAAGAAAGAATATAGATGTTTAAATTTTTTCATAATAAAAAGAGAAAAAAATGAGAGGGGGACTCCTGCTTTCTATCTTGGCAGCCAGTCTGTTATACCCAAAGAAGGCAACCTTCCATAATGGCAAACAGGAGCCACCCCACTTCCTACCAACCTTTTATCATCCCTTGCCTCATCTTGAGGCTCTAGTCTACCCCAGCCACTCCAACACCAGCACCATCAATTTTACCAGCAGAAATTAACTAGCTTAGGTCCTAAGGCCCTTCCGTCTATTTGTATCTGCTCAAATCTAGTACAGTCACGCACTGCTGAACAACGGGGATACTTCTGAGAAATGTGTTGTTAGGTGATTTCATCATTACGTGAACATTGTAGAGGGTACTTACACAAACCTATAGCCTACTACACACCTAGGCTATATGGTACTAATCTTTTGGGACCACCACCATATATGCAGTCCAATGTTGACCGAAACATTGTAATGTGGCACATGACCGTATTGGAAAAGCTGCTTTATATACTTATACAGAAACATGTGGGCTTTCATTTCAGAAGGAAAAATTCAGATAAACTTATAAACTACAAAGAAAATTATGTGCCTATTCAAGTACCCACTTAACATTCAAAAATATATCTCATATATCAGAGGATTCCATCTTACCTTTAAATTTAACATTTAAATGTAAAATGCAGCAAATCTGCCATAGGACAAACTGCTTAAATCAAAAGATTCACTATATGGTGGGAGATGAAAAATAGCTTGCCTTTTCAAGGTAAAGAAATCAGTTTATACAGGTACCCCAAAATGAACATTCAGTGGAGTACAACAGAGTTCCTAAAATATCTGCAGTCCAGAGCCACAGAAAAAGGCCTAAAGCACTCCTTTTCTGAAAGCCACTGCCTAATGCACCATCTTCTCAGCTGTTTGTAAGCCTTACCCAATTCCCATTCTACTGCCAAGGTTCACCAACAGAAAGAAAGAGGGTTATTTTTTAGATAAGGGAACAGAGCAACAGCCAACAAGTATGTTTTTTCCACTTCTACAAAGGTCCTTAGTGCCACTCCTGGTGCCCCAAAATAACAAGCTAGATTCCTCTTCCTCTTTGCCTCTTTCCATAGAAAACGCTCTCCCCCACTCAGTCATCCTGTAGATATCTCCTTTGACTAAAATCAAAAGGGAAACATTACCATGATCAAAGGCTTTACCTAGCATTCAGCGGCATGAGGAAGGTATCTGAGAGGAACAGAGGCTCAATTTTTGGAGTGGATGTAGTATAAAGTAATCTCTATGTTTCACCTGTTCTATGTCCTACAAACTAATAATCTTCAATCTTGAGATAAGTACGAAATCTATACCAAACGTCCACATACATGTGGATCCTCTGATACAGTCTAGATGAATCTGAATAGTTAGTTTACAAGGTTTGTGTAATCTATTTTGGTATTTCCTTCTGATTAGAAATAGCTTGGTGTTGAACAAAAAAACAAAACAAAGAAACTTTATTTTCCTTAATGGTTCGGTTGAAACCCTACAGGGCTGTAGAGTTGTTCTGCTTGTTGGAGGGCATGGGGGAGAGGGAAGGGTGCTGTTGCTTGTTATAATCAAACACTAGTTTTGATAACAAAGTGATGTTAAAATAGGCTTCAACATGGAACTTCTTACCAATAATCATTGCAGTGAATAGGTCTCTATATAAGAAATTAAACAGGAAAGGTTCATACCAGGCCTCAACTCCCACAATCGCAGTCACTATGTAGACAAAAGAAATAGTCTGAAAGGAAAATGCAGACAAGAGCATACAGAGGCATTAACAGCTGGAAAGATCAGGGAGTCAATAACGCTTTATGCAGCATAAGTCTAGTAAACAATTTTAGTAAAAGCAAGAAGTATGCTTAAATTTGATATCTGGCAAGTCTTCTTGCCTTTAAAATATATTTTTTCAGCCAACAATGCCATAAAATAACTAACTTCTAGACAATGCTAGCAACTGGCCCTCATTTGGAACACTTTAAGGCACCTCATAAACTGGTTAAGCCTTACGATGATCCAGTCTGCCCACCTAATCACTTTCTTCAAACACACTCCAACTTCTGATTCTTTACTAGAGCCTTAGATGCAAATGGGCGAAATAGCAACACAAAAAGCTGGGATTCAAAGGCAGGGAGAGTTAATAGCAAGCCTACTAAGTAAGAGAAAACAAATCTCTCTACTCATTGAAAAGTTGGCAATGAAGACAAAAAGCCAACAATTTAACTATATGCGCACATCTTTCTTTACAAAATCAACAGTTCAAATGAATGTTTATTAACATTAAGAAACTATTCATTTTTTGGTGTAATAATGGCATTGTGATTATGTTTTTTAAAAAGAGCTCTTACCATTTAGAGATATATATATAGTACAATATTTATCGCGTAATGTCAGGAATTTCCTTTAAAATAATTGGGAGGGGGGCGAGGAAGGGTATACATGAAACTAGACTGGCCACGTGTTAACTGCTGAAGCTAAGTGATAGGTACGTAAGGGTTCCTTATACTATTCTCTCTAGATTTGTATACGTTTGAAATTTTCCATAAATAAGTAAAAATAATATAAAATAAAAAGGAAACTTTTTAAAAAGCACATATAAGCTCTAAGCAAAAAAAGCATAAGGGCAACAAAGAAGAAATCACAAAAACTTCCCAAAAAATTCATGGCAATGTTGAAAATTTAAGGCAGAACACATACTTACCACCTGGCTAATGTCATATCCCCATGGCAGGAAAAGAATCCCTGTGTTATACTTTTCCCAGTGAGACAGGATGAAAGAAAACAAAACTACCCATAGCAGGAGATAAAGAACAAACACACTGACACCAGATGGTCCTCGTCCAAAGATGGAATACACAGTGACAACAAAGTAAACACATGACCAACTATCCAGGCCATGGTCAAAAAGCTCCCCTAAAGGGGTGCTGGAATTGGTTCTACGGGCTTGCTTTCCATCCACACCATCTGCAACAAAAAGGACCACAGGAAAAGGTCAGTATCTGTAACAGTACAGAGAAAGTCTCTAATAAACTGGAGAAAAACAAAACAAAACAAATCAGCATATCATAGGAATGTTAATTAACTAAAGTATAGCTACCAGCCAGTACTATTAAGTCGTACAATACAAAGATTCAAGAAGTAAAATCCCTAGTTTCTCTAAGTTTAATCTGAAAATTAAAATATGTTATATTACACTGAATCGTGTCAATTTTAGATCTGAGGAAGAAGTATTCTAATTGGACTCTGAATTCCTCCAAATCTACCTAACAACTGAGTTGTTCCACTAGACATAAATTCTCAAGACTTATGATATAAATCATGAATAATGAATATGATATGAATAACGAATATTCATTACAATTTCTCTAACCACTCCTGCTCTAGGATTCAAAAGCACTCTGTACGTCAGTCATACTGTTTGACATTAGTCACTTCTTTACAGCCTCCACAATTTTAAGTGCTTTCAGAAAAGGCTTTGCACATAGTAGGTGTTCACTAAATGTAAGAATTACATTTATTGAAACTGTGCAGTATGCTAGTCTTGATGTTGTGAAGATTATAAGAATCTTAGAATAAACTAAGTTTGTGCCCTCAGAGTGTTTACGGTTGAGAAAGGAGACAAGGGCCGGCCCTGTGGCTTGGTGGTTAAGTGCGCGTGCTGCAATGCTGGTGGCCCGGGTTCGGATCCCGGG